AAGTTAATTAATCGCTTTTAAAGCTACGTGTTTACTCACTTTTTAAAGTAAAGTCAACTAATCGATTTTGAAGCAACGTGTTTACTCACTTTTTAATGTAAAGTCAACTAATCGATTTTGAAGCAACGTGTTTATTCACTTCTTAAAGTAGTCAACTAATCGCTTTTAAAAGCAACTTGTTAAAGTCAACTAATTGCTTTTAAAGCAACGTGTTTATTCACTTCTTAAAGTAAAGTCAACTAATCGCTTTTAAAGCAACTTGTTTAAAGTTAACTAATTGCTTTTAAAGAAACGTGTTTACTCACTTTTTAAAGTAGTCAACTAATCACTTTTAAAGCAACTTGTTAAAGTCAACTAATCGATTTTGAAGCAACGTGTTTATTTACTTCTTAAAGTAAAGTCAACTAATTGCTTTTAAAAGCAACTTGTTAAAGTCAACTAATCGCTTTTAAAGCAACGTGTTTATTCACTTCTTAAAGTTAAGTCAACTAATCACTTTTAAAACAACATGTTTACTCACTTTTTAAAGTAAAGTAAACTAATCACTTTAAAGCAACTTGTTACATTCAACTAATCACTTTAAAGCAACGTGTTGACTCACTTTTTAAAGTAAAGTCAACTAATTGCTTCAAAAGCAACTTGTTAAAGTAAACTAACTGCTTTTAAAGCAACTTCTTTTTAAAGTAAAGTCAACTAATCGCTTTTGAAAGCAACGTGTTTACTCATTTTAATGTAGTCAACCAATCGCTTTCAAAGTATTGTGTTTTCTTACATTTTAAAGTAAAGTCAACTAATTGATTTTAAAAGCAACAGGTTTACTCACTTTTAAATCGATTCGTTGACTTTACTTTAAAAAGTGAGAAAACACGTTGCTTGTTTTCTTGTTTTAAGTGTTTTCTGTGCACCACCCGAGCACTTTATGCCTCATCTTGCGTCTCGTTTTTTTCCTGTGGCACATGTTTTTTCATCTGGTCCCTCGTCTCTGAAGTGCCAAGGTCAAGCTACAGGGCCCGGCTGGACAAATGTATACAACCTGTTTTTCACTTTACTTAAAAGAAAGAACAGGGTCGTGTTTGGCCTTTATTTTCAAAGAAGCTCTCTGTTGTTCCAGGGACAGTGTTCTTTAATGATAACATCTGTGTCTCAGTGCCAATTCACTTCTCTGGGGTTCTCATAAATGCTGTTGTGTTGCCCAGCTGCTTAAAGTCTATCCAAAACAGCAGGAGGAAGGTGAACTGAACTTATCAAAATAGGCAGTACAGTGGCTCAATGGTTACGTTATCACAGAGGAAAGTAAAGGATTATTCTAATGCACAGGTTTTTGTTGTTTTATTGTTATTGTAAGCTGCAAACTTTTAAAAACTGGTTTAAAGTTGCAGGTTTGAAAAACACACTATTGTCATCTTAGTGAATAAGGTGGCTTGCCTGCATGTGCTTAGTCTACAGTACAGTATTTGACAGTCAAAACAACAGAAGTAGACTACACAACCACACATGTGATGTCTGTACACATATGTTTTTAACCAGTTTAACTCTGCGGCCGTGACGTCATCAACTTTTGCTTTAAGATTTAAAGGGCCAGCATTGCACCAGACTCCCGTAAGTGGTTAAAACGTGCAGTGCGCAGGGTGCATAAGCAGCATGCAAAACACAAAAAAGGCGCCTCTCAATGCAAAAAGCGCGTTGGGTGTGATCGGTCTCTCAGAAGGCTGATAATATTGGCATTAAAATTGTTTTTCAAAAATTAAAAACTGATTTTACTCAAGCCGAAATAAAACAAATAAGACTTTCTCCAGAAGAAAAATATTATCAGAATTACTGTAAAAAAAAACTTGCTTTGTTTAACATTATTATCAAAATATTTAAAAATATAAATAAAAATAATTCACAGGAGGGCTAATAATTCTGACTTCAACTGTAGTGTATTACTCAAAGGCTGATCTGGTTGGTGTCTAGGGGGTTACATACTGGCCGAGTCACAAAAGGCCACAACTACATGTAAGTCCCTTTGGATTCTAGCTATGGCTCAGGTCCGTCTTTCACAGTAAGTAAATAGATTGTTTTAAATACATTTGTAATCATCAAAATTAAACATGTGATTATCTGAAACTATAACAGTTTGAACTGAGGAAACTTATCATTGATATTTTAGAAATGCTACGGTAAGTTAAAAGGTTTAGGGTTTGAGCCAATAAGTTATATCGGGACTCGAAACAACAAGTAAACGTCCCTTATCAAACGAGTTTCTGTTTTCTCTCTACATGTGAACGTGTTGATATTTCTGAATGGGGAGAAGCAATATTTTACCTGAGGAACTAAAATTAGACTCTCTGCCGCGGAACCTTTACCACAGATATAAATAAACTACAAGCTGTCCTAGCTCACTTTCTTCTAAAGTCAGTCTGAATCAGAGCAGAAAGTCCTTGAATTCAGTCCTACAAGGAGTCCAGCGGAGGCCTGTTTCTTCTCTTTTTAAGTTGGCAGGTTGTGGGCCAGAGGTCTTCATTGACTGGCTATCATAAATGGAAACCATTATATCCAGTCTGGATTAAAATAAACACGTTCTTCTCTTTCTACGGTTGGATTTTCGCAGAAATTATATTAAAAACAACACTTGTCCTTGCTAATTTAACTACAAGAATGACTGTGTTTGTTCTTAAATGAAAGATTAGATCAATATTGGAGTTATTAATATTCCAGTAGCACCTAACAATAACAGTACACGAATAATGACGTGCTAATATGTAAATTAAACATTACTTCATTATGAACTAATCATGAGTTAAGGCAGTGGTTCTCAAACTGTGGAACGGTACACGAGCTTACATCTAGTGGTACGTGGAGGAATCACTGAGTAACGAAAGAAAAATGTTATACAAATGTAAACATTTGATGCATACGATAACTGAAATGTGATCATTATTGGGTGTTCTCTAAAGCCTATGATCAAAGCGTTGTGATTAGAATGTTTACTTTAGTGTATTGCGTCATCCTCTGCTAAAAATCAATTCAATTGGCGCGGAACAAGAGAAAGAGGTGCTTGCAGAGCAGATACTGTACGAGCTAGAGCAGAGGTCCCCAACCCTCGGCCCACAGACCGGCACCGATCAATTGGTACCCGGCTGCACAAAAAAATCATTAATTATTTGAGTTTTATTTATAATCTGAGTCTGAACGATCATTTATTTTGAAAAATCTTTTATTTTGAAAAATGACTGTATTCTTTTGTTACATCTCGGTCACATGAGTGCCAAAATTTAACCCACAGGCTAGCAAAATGAGTAAGAACTGCAGCTCGACTCGCTTGCGTATTCCAGGCATACCCAGTTAAAAGCATCTTAACTTTTTAGAATGCAACTGATAAGAACGACTGATCAGCTTCATATTTTGTTGAATGAATATGACTCTGCCTCGTTTTCGAACTGTGCAGTGCTGTAGCTGCTTAATTTGGCCAACTACGCTACTTTATTTTAACACTGGTCATTAGGGTGGTACTTGGAAAGACACATTTTTTCTAAGGTGGTACTTGGTGAAAAAAGTTTGAGAACCACTGAGTTAAGGCATTCACTAATCAGAAACTAACCTCAACTACAACATGAGTTCATCAATTGTAAAACAATTATTGTGCCAATTAGTTATGACAACTTAATATGTTGAGTTATGTGAACTTTTATGGATTGAATGTGAAAGTCATGACATAAAGATGCATTAGCAGGACACGAGTTCGTTTTAGTTACATTTAGCTTAAACTAATGTGACAATTAATACATTAACAAACATGAACTAACAAGTAATCAAGGCAGCCATTATTCACACATGAACTCATGTTGTGGTTAGTTCTTGATTAACCTTCCTGTGATTTACAACTTAAATCACTCATAAATATTGGGTTTTACATCTGATTGCCTCAAGGCCTTATGATATCCCTCAGACTATGCATTTGAACATATAAAAGTGATGAGCACCTCTTTCATTGAATTTTGAGTGTTTTAATCAACCTTGTTACACCTGTGGTGTTCCCGGTCAAAAGTGACCGCCATAGGAAATGAATGGGTATCCAGGCTATATTCATTCATCAGACAGAAAACATCCCCACACACACTACCCCACCCACCCACTCACCCATTCACTCACTTACTCACTAAATTATGAATTCCCATGAAAGTGTTGGATCCTCCAACGTGAATCAACTTCCTGATAAAACAGTGTGTCATATCTTCACATAGACTAGGTGTCTGTTATGTGAATCCATCTATGTGTGTCTTTCTTTCTTTCTTTCTTTCTTATTCAGCCAATTTCTAGCAGGAGTCTTGCAGGAGCACTTCTAGCTTAGCTTAGCAACAATTATTTTATCATGAGACAGTTATTATCCCGCTTTAAAATAGACCAAAGTACAACTAGTGCTAGTTCTGTGTCCATGCTCATCGTATATACCCTCAGTCACTATTCCCTATATTAGTACACTTGAAGGACTGAAAATTCGATCACTCAGAACACGGGAAAGGATAGCATTTTGTTTGTGCTTTGCTGGTTGATAAATCATTCAGATGAACTAAAATGTCAATTTCCTTGGTCTTAATGAAAGTGTTTTGATTTCTGTCATTTATTGTTCATTTTGTAATACATTTTCAGCACCGATTTTTATTTTCATTGCAGTTATTTCATGCCTAATTTTGTAAATTCATGTTAAACACTTCTTTGAGACATTGTTCACAGCTAAAGAATGTTGAATAAAAATTTGGTGGAGAAAATGGTATTTGTGCTAATATAAGAGCAGTTAAAACAGACCGGTCAATTTCGACCGGGAACACTAAAGTAAGGGGCAGGATGTGAACATGACAGGAGGGTTAAAGCACTCCTTATCATTAGTTCATAACAATATTTAATTTACGTATTAGTACATGATTATTCCTGTACTGTTATTGTAAATTGTTACCAGTATTTAGTCTATGTTTCTTCACTGTGTAACCAACCTCTTGTCTCCCTTCTTTCCGTCACAGTTTCGATGTGGAAAATGGGTTGTCGATGGGTCGCAGTTCACTGGACCCCAGTCCGAGCTCCGGGCTGGTCCTGCAGGCAAACAGCCAGAGGCGAGAGTCTTTCCTGTACCGCTCAGACTCGGATTTTGACCTCTCGCCCAAGACGATGTCCAGAAACTCCTCGACCGCCAGCGAGCTGTAAGCATTCATCACATATTAAGATAAAATGTCAATAGCTATGTTTCCATACACCTATTTTTATGTGCATTTTGGAATATCGCATTATAAAGGTTAATGGAAATGCCAAGAAATCCGCTGGTTCGAGCCCCTGCTGGGTCATTTGGCATTTCTGTGTGGAGTTGCATGTTCTCCCCGTGTTGGTGTGGGTTTCCTTTGGGTCCTTCGGTTTACTCCACAATCCAAACACATGCACTACAGGTGAACTGATTAAGCTAAATTGGCCGTAGTGTATGACTGTAAATGTGAGAGTGTATAGGTGTTTCCCAGTGCTGGGTTGCGACTGAAAGGGCTTCTGCTGCATTATAGATGCTGATAAATTAAGGGACTAAGCCAATTGAGAATCTATGAATGAATGAAATGCACAAAAAAGATGCACACACATTTAAATATGTGGATAACTACTGTATGTAGGATGAACTTTTTATCCGATAAGAGGAAATGACTAAAATGTTTACATAAATACTTGAAAAATGTCAACATGTGTATCCAAAAAGTCATGTGATTTTTTTGATACACAACCGAAATGAAAATAATGTAAAGGCATTAATGGACAAACCAGTGGATCAACCACATTGTACAACATCAGACATGTTGTTTTGGTCATTCTAAAATCCCTCAGCCAAAGTCTGTCATCACAGTGGTTCGGTATCATTATCTCGTCTTGAGCAGAGGTCTCAAACTGCCGGCTTGCAGGACCATTTGCAACCCCCACCCCCGTCTCTCCGGCCCACATCTGATGTCAAAAATAAAAAAGATTCGGTCCCCCAAAAGAAACATCACAATCTTAGTTGTGCAGTCGCATATAACCACTTGTGGTTTTGCCCCCCCCACCTACTGAACATTTAAAGTACTGTACTATATGTTTCAGGTTACTTTCGGTTTTTCTTAGTGTGCTGTCGAAAGTAACGCACATGCAGATTATTTCTGGGGCTGATTTAATCTTTGAAATATATGTCTGTAAGTGCTCTGTTTTTTTACTAAAGCTCTATTTTTAAAAATATTTAAGGGTCATTTAATTATAATCTGTTTTATACAACCTGTATTGTGCTGTACAATATATATACTCTCCCCCTCTTTGTTGTAGTTTTACAGAAAAAAAAAAGATATTAAAAAAGAACAATTGCCAGTAAAGTCACTGAAGTTACCCAATCTGCTTTCTGCTGTCTTATGCTGTCGGTTTGGTTAAGCAACAATTGATTGGGACAGAATAATATTTATTATTATTATGCCTATTATTAAATTGTAGTATTTTCGTATCAATTTAAACTACCTCTTCAACATGTACTATAAGAAACAAAAAGAAGGAGCTTTGATACTCTAGGGCAGGGGTTCCCAAACTTTTCAGCCTGCGACCCCCAAAATGAGAATGCCAGTGACTCGTGACCCCCAAAATTCTCTGAGGTGGTGGTTATAAATACAGAAACCTTGTATGCAATGACGCACAAAAACCAATAGACCCAAGTCTATTCTTTGTTTTTTTTTATGTATGTTAGTGCTGTAAATGGGCTAGAAAGTTTAACCTGGTGTTACAAAATCTGCTGCATCTGACAGTGTTGCTGTGTCTTTAGTATAATGTAATTACCCGAGAAGTCGCAATCCAATAGATCTAGTAACTATAAGCTACTATACTAACTATATAGTTTATAGTAACTATAAACAACTATTTTTTTCTCATCAGTAGGTTATTGATAAAATACAATAAGTCTTAAGGTTTAATAAAAATGAATTGATTTTTGAAAATCACCAGGCGACCCCCCTTCATTGTCCCGTGACCCCTCGGGGGGTCCCGACCCCCACTTTGAGAACCTCTGCTCTAGGGAAGAATGTCCAAGGTCATCAATTACATCAGGTTTCCACTTTTTTGTTGTGCTTAAATGTTAAAAATGTTCACAATTTGGTAAAATGTGAAAACGTGGTAAAAATCAGGCCAAGGCTTTTCTTTTTCAGGACTGCTTTTTAAAACTGTCGGTTGGGTTTAGGGAAGGAAGAGGGTGGGTCAGTCCATCAGTCAGTCAGTCAGTAGTCGACAGCAGCCTCTGGTGGATTTACGTGAGAACAGCAGGCGCAAAATGTACTCGCGAGAGAAATTTGAGATGTGAAAAAGCATACACGGCGGCCCCTGGTGGATTCGCGAAAACAAAAACCGCAGAAAAAAATGTAGCTCCTGGGATGTATTTGGCGCTCTCCAGAAATGTATATGGTGTTACATTTTCAGAATGAGCCTGGGTTGTTTTATGCGATATTCCAGTTTTGTGAATAAATCTAATTCACATCTCTTGTCTAGCTACTAGCTATTGTCTTTTACGTGATTTCTTGCTTATTTAATACTTCATTTTTTGACATATGAGTAATTTATTTACACTTTTATAAAAATTAGAACTATCATAGTTTAAACATGGAATAGAATTGTGAAAAAATTGCAGTTGTTGTAGATGTGTAAATATCCACCCGCTTCGAATGTTATCACTCGATTTAATGGCCATTATCAAATGTAAAGCTTTTACCGGTGCTCCTCCGGTTCTAGCAATTTTTTACTGAATTATATTCATATATCAAACAATTGTCGAAAGAATTACGGTGTTTCCATGGCGCAGAAGTGAAAACAATACATTTATGATCAATAAGCAGCCCCTGATAGCACAGACAGCTGTCATCTCTTACCTTAAGCTGTGTGCTTCAGGGCCATTCTCCTCTGTTTTTGAGGTGATGTGCATAAATAATCCTTTTATATGTCTGACGTGGTCCAAACACAGTGAATTATGTTTGATCAAACAAAAGAAAAGTGAAATATGAAAACAATGATCGCTCCCTGTGGCTTGTACAGCACCTCTCATCAGTTGTAATACAATAACTTTTGCATAGATTATGGTAGAGACATTTTTCCTATGATTACAGACATGTGCAGGAACCACCAAAATTAATTACAGCAACCTAGACCACACACCTAAAAGGTACACATTTCAAATTTAAGTTTAAAAAAAAAAATTAAAAAAAAAAAAAAAAAAAATATATATATATATATATATATATATATATATATATATATATATATATATATATATATATATATATATATATATATATATATATATATATAAAGCGCCTCTTTTTTTAGGTGTTTATTATAACACAGACAACATCAAATATTTTAAACACTTTCAATAGTGTTTAATGAAAATTCAAAGGGTGTTCTTAAAAATGATACCAAATTTTTGCATTTACGCTTCTGCATGTGGATTTGGGAATCTTTTAAATTTGGGTAGGCAAAATCCAGGTGGAAATCCCAAAATAGCAGTACAGTTTAACTGGTTATCCTTGTTTTGCATAAGCACACACGTTTGTTCTCATTTTGTGTGTACACAATAAAAACTAGACACCTAACAGATGATCTGTACAATCAAAACTGAAAGTAATTGAAGTTCATTTCAGCTTTAGGAGATGAAAACTTGTCAGAATGCGTATACGTGGTCTTCGACCCCAGGGGGTTAAAAGCATATGCTGGAGTTTTCAGCAGGGAAAGAATTCCCAAAAGTGGGATTTGTGATGTAAACCAAACTGCAAAACAGCATTAAACATGTAAATTCAGTGACTATTGATTCATTATTTGTTAAATTCGTAATTTAATGATAATTATTGTTGATATCTTGTCTTTTGCAGTCATGGAGAGGACATGATTGTAACGCCGTTTGCTCAGGTCAGTTGGGTGCTTATTAATTGTAGTATATACAATATGCAATACTATATACTGTATGTGCCAAAACCTAAATGCCTTGCAGTAAAAACAGTCATTTACAGTGCATCCGGAAGATATTCATAGCACTTTACTTTTCCAACATTTTTTATGTTACAGCCTTATTCCGAAATGGTTTAAATTCATTTTATTAATTCAATTTATTCCTGTCAATTAATCGTTCCTTGTCAATGAATCGAACTGTATTTTTGCTGTTTAATATGTGGAAGGCCAAAAACGTATAAATAATAATAATAATAGATAAATAAATAAATAAACTTAAATATTAATTTTATTAAAAATAAATCAAATTTTCAATATTTTGTGAGTGACAAATGAACTAGAGTTTGAATTTCATCTATGTTCAGCTGCTTTGACACATATTTAAGTTGTAAAAAGCACTATAAAAATAAAGTTGAATTGAATTGTGTGTGTGTGTGTGTGTGTGTGTGTGTGTGTGTGTGTGTGTGTGTGTGTGTGTGTGTGTGTGTGTGTGTGTGTGTGTGTGTGTGTGTGTGTGCTGTAGGTTCTTGCCAGTCTACGTACAGTGAGAGGAAATGTTGCAGCTTTAACCCACATGCAAGACAGAAGCAACAAGTGAGTCTGTAGCCAAAATATCTAAATGTTAGTAAATGGCAGAATTAATAAAAGATTTATGACATTAATTGTCTTTTTTGATTTTTATTTTTCTATATTAGGAGACCATCAGGCACTAACCCTCAATCTGCCTGTAAAACAAACCTGTCCGGTGAGTGGTCTAACCTTTAATGCTGTAGACCTGTACACCGAATTTTATAGTGGTCACCAGAGATGCAGATGGCTTTTGCGTTTCATTGTAACACATTTTGGATTGTTTTGACATCTGAGATTTGTTTTTCTAGATGAAGCATATCAAAAACTGACCGTCGAGACTCTTGAAGAGCTGGACTGGTGTTTGGACCAGCTGGAGACGCTGCAAACACGTCACTCCGTCAGTGAAATGGCCTCCAATAAGGTATTTAAAGAAATATTTCATCCAAAAATGGAAACCACAATGCACTATTGTTAATTTTCTTTATCTTTTGTTTATTTGAAGTATGCATGAGGAAAATTAAATAATAAATAAATAAATAAAATAATAAATTAATAAATAAATAATAAATTAAATTAAATTAATTAATTAATTTAATTAAATAAATTAAAAATAATTTAAATATAAATAAATGTTGACTTTTTATTATTTCCTATTATTTGAGTATACTGCAAAAATTGGGACAGAGCCCAAATAAAAGTGAGAAGGTTATAAAATATACTATTTAAACAGTTTTGAAGCAGTCCACAAATAATGGCTAGTTCACATCACAGAAGCTCAATTTAGGCCTGATTTGCAAGTTAGCAAGCTTGCTGACAGATCGGGTTGTGATTAGGGGAAAATCAGTGGCCGCTTTTCTGGGCGAATGATGCATCAAAGACTCGTCGCGGCACCTCACAAACAAAAAATCAACATCTAGCATACTAAATACTCCATATCTGTTAGCCAACTCGACCCCACGTAAGTTCAGATGTAGTGATGAACTGCAGCTAATGACTAGGGCCAGATGGAATCTGTGGACATTTTTTTTTTTGCTGTTTCTGCTGAGAATTTTGGTAAAAGTCAGCCGATTTCTGCAGAATTATTTTGGGAGTATCATAACTAAAATCTTAATATATGAAATAAAAATAAAATCTTTTCAACTTTTATTTAATGTTTAAAATGCAAATCCAATTAGATTCAATTTATTTGGTAAATAAAGCAAGTTTGTCATGTAATATATCTAGTAAACGACAGAAAATAATACTGTACAAACTGCATTGTACATAAATTAGATGAACATTTTCATATTAGTTAATAATATTACTGAAATTAATTTAAAAAAAATGAAAAAATTTAGATTTACACACATATACTCAAGTAAATACACAAAATTCAGATTCCGGATTGGCCTACCAATGATAAAGCAAGTCATGAATGAATGGCCTTTGTGTTCAAAAGCTCAACAGATTTAACCAATAAGCAAGCTAGGAGGCCACTTAGGGCCCCAGGAAATCTGCGGGCACCCAAATAAATACCTAGAAGTATAAATGATACCTATAAATTATATATAACATTGTTTTTATCATATTTTGTAGGTTGAGGGTCTTAAATTTTTAATTTGAGTGTAACTGCTGCACAAATGTGTCCCCCACTTTCAATCATGGAGCAGTCCAGCAGTCAAATCAGTAAAGATTTAGTTTTCAAAATAAAATGGTTCTTTACTTATTTCTAGTTGTGAATTCATTCATTCATTCATTCAATCATTCATTCATTCAATCATTCATTCATTCTTTCATTCATTTTCTTTTCAGCTTAGTCCCTTTATTAATCTGTGGTTGCCACAGCGGAATGAACCGCCTAGTTGTGAATTCCTTTTAAGAAAACAAATAGTTTTAAAAGTTTTACGAGGTGCTTTACATGTGTTTTTATTATTCTGCACTAAGAGAAAAGGTGACTGAATGTTATAAGAAAAAAAAACAGCAAAATAATAATAAATGGGCCCCATGGCTAGAGTTGCTTTGGACCCTAATATCAAAATAATAATAAATCTGCCCCTGGTCATTTCAGTAAATGAGGGTTAGTAATGTCATGACTATTTCGAAGTGTTTAGAACATGTAGACAAACAGCTGTAGCTGTTTCCGAAATCCCCCCTCATACCCTTAAATAGTGCACTGTTTGAAGGAGCAGCCATTGTTTTTGGTGTCCAAAACCATAGATGACGATATCAATCCAACAATGTACCGCCATAGCGAATATACAACCAATGCTACAAAAAAATACCCATTATACACTGTGAAAGATCCAATATCCTTCAAAAACTAAATTCTCTCCGTAAAACAACATAACATTGATTGTTTTCTTAATAAGTTCATTAAATCATACCATATTTTCATCTCTTATAGTTTCTTCTAAATGACTTCTTGCTGGTTCATATTTCTGATAATGTATTATAACCTGTTTTACTGTTTCTTCTTTTCCACAATAATGACAACAATTGACAACAATTATGTCCAAAACCAAAGCATCAATATTAATACTCCATCCTTTCTATTTCTTCCGTTATAGCTCATTTCTACCACTTTCCTTCAGATTTTATGAAACCATTGACCCTTTCTAGTTTCTACCCACTATTTTTCAGTCTCTTTTTAATGATCCAAACAGAACTTACCAATTTGTGCAGCTTAAATAGACATGTGGGAAACTGGTTAGTCCATAATAGTGATGTGCGGATCGATACTAAAATATTGATATCTTTGAAACCAGCTTTGTATGTTTCAGAATCGATTATCTTACCAACATATCGATATTACAGTAATTTGGAGCAAATATGTAGTTTGTTGGAAATAGAAATACAGTGGAGAGGAACCACAATTACCCTAGTTTATCTGCATGATGCCAACTTAGTCAGAACTACTTGTTCTTCCGCCTGCCATGTCATGTGCATAATATGGCACTGTACAACTGCAGATCACGCTAGCTAGCCACTCAGTCCGCTGGCACATGTTGTTCAGTCATGCTGTCGTTGGATTTGGGTGACCGCAAGCGAAGTTATGTGTGGAGCTACTTCACTTCCATAAACTCAAACGATACGGTTTGTGACAGGTGTAACAAAACACTGTGGTACTGTGGTAAAACCACAAATCTAATCAAACGTCTACATATAAATCACAAGACAGAATATGACTACGTCATGACTAGGCGGTCAGAAGAGGAGGAAAGGAGGGGCACAGTTGCTGCTAGGGTGAGACAGACATCACTTTTAGAGTTCGTAGGTGCAGCAGGTAGGCAACAGCCAGGTACAGAGGGAGAAAATGTGGCTGTATTTTGGGGGCTTGGATTTTTGTGACAATGAGTATGTAAGTTGGCTCTTTTTTTGTATGATAATTCTTCATCAATAAACAAGAATAACACTTAATATGTCTCATATTCAGTATGAAGTGACACTTTTAAGTACACTACTTGTTACTTTAATTTCCCAAACAGTAATTTTTGGAAAAGTATCGGTATCGGATTGGTATTGCCAACAATAGTCGCCTTCATTTTACTTGGTATCGGATAGGAAACCAGTGGTATCGCACATCACTAGTCCATAATCAGTTCCTAGGCACAGGGTGTAAAGGGAGATGGAGTCTGGTATGGAAAAGGTGTTAGAGACCTCTAGTGGTGATTGGGAATTTATAACAGGATTTTACATGGAGAAGAAAGTTCAAAAGTTCACCATGGTGGAGGGAAAGTACCAAAAAGTAAATAAACATTCGTGAAAATTCAGTTAAAAAATTCAGTTATTTAAAATTCTGTTTAAATACACCTGAAAATTGTGACGTTCGCCTAGTGTTTAGACTTAAATAGATCTAACTAAAAATGGGAAAAGTCCAAATTCTCTTCTGTTATGTTCTGATCTACTGTTGAGAGACAATTTGTCCATATCATTTGCTGTCATTAATATTATTACACTGATATTACTCAAATCATGTAATAATTGTGTAGTAAATGTTTTACTCTTTTGTTTTTATTCTTCTTAGTTTAAAAGAATGCTCAACAGGGAACTTACTCAGCTGTCGGAGACCAGCCGCTCAGGAAACCAGGTGTCTGAGTTCATAGCAAGCACAATATTACGTGAGTGACAAGAATTAATGTATAATTATAGCTGTGTGTTTACAGTCACTTATTAATTCTTACATTCTGAATGTAACTTTTACACACTCATTGTGTTTGTGCTGCAGAAAAACAGTACGATGTGGAGCTTCTGTCGGCAGCATGTAAGGAGGAGAAGAAGCGTCGGCCGATGTCTCAGATTAGCGGAGTGAGAAAACTAAGCCCCAGTCCGAGTCTCCCCCCAACATGCATCCCACGGTTTGGTGTCAACACGCAGCACGAGAGCCTCCTGGCCAAGGTGTGCCTTCATTTCTAGTATTATTTCAGACTATGATTTCTATAGTGGCAGAAAGAGCTCAAACATGTTGAAAGGCAAGAAAACAAATGTAAATAGACAATCATTAATAAAAAAAATACATTTTTACCATTAGAAGCTGGTTATATTCACACACTGTTGCCACACAACTGTGTTTAAACCCCTTATAAAAGTGATTTTTGCATCAAATAGGTCTACTTTAAAACTAAAACAAAGTTTTTTTCCTGAAAACAATCTAAATAGAACTATTAACAGATGAACATGTTGTATATAAATTACTTTCTGCTTCTCCTGGGGTCCGTTCTTCGTACCTCGCTTAAATGATCTAAGATGATTTGACAGATCCTGGATCTTTTAATCTTGATAACTGATCTCTCGCTAATTTGGTTTTTCAAACAAGTTCGCGAATCAGATTAGAATGTCTGGATAAACTGATCTGAGATCGCTGCGTGTGTTGTGAAGGACAGATCTATCGATCCTCGAAATCATGATCAGCAATGCAATGATTGGCTGACGGCACAGCAGCGTAATGACATCATCTGATTAATATTCAATTATCCATGTGAGCAAAATTACATCAAATTAGCAGTAAACGGCTTGTTAAATATGACACGCAATAACCTTCCACATTTATTGTGAGCTGCAGGCTTTACACTTTCATGTGTCAAGAGTATTCATCGTGTATTTCAATGCATATCAATGTATTTAGTTCTACATTTAGAAAAGATTTTCTTTATTATAGTAGCCGTTTTTTTAATCGGTGTAAAGAATAACTGAATGTTTACAAAAGCATTTTGATATTGGTAAAGACGTCTGCAACTTTTGTGAAGCATCAAATCACTGGCATATTAACTATCAACACATGTTCATGACTGCATTAATGTATTATTGCTTTTTTTTTTTAAAGTCACATATTCTGCATTTCTATTATCATACACAAATTGTACTAAAGCGATCTAAAAAAATTATATCAATAAATTTTCTCTTTGTACTTTCATTTCGAGGGTGCAGATTGCATACGTTTTGTTAATATAACTTTATTTTATTAATAACTATAACTTTATATATATAGTTACATTTTTTTTTACTATTTTCCCAAGTGTATATAACTACTACTGTAAGAAAATATAATAATTCGGTACTTTCTCTATTATCTTTGCTTGAACTGAGCCGATCTAATCCTGTTTATATGAATTGAACCTGCTCCCGATCAGGTTTGAGCTAGCAGAACTGTTGCCATAACAACAACTCTCAGATCAGCTTTGAAGAACGAAACGATCCTGGATCATGTCAAATCGTCAATATCCAAATCCAGCTAACTGAGTAATCCACGTACGAAGAACGTGATGACTTTATTTTGATTTGATCCTGTTTTATAGACATTTTTAATGTTTGACATATCTACCTTGTATTTGAAAGATTCCTGGGAGAAAGATTTAGACATTCAAATTACCAATGAGAACTGGAAAAAGTCTATCAAAGTCCTAAATACATGTTCTATTAACTCAAGACACCAACTAATCAAATATAAAGTAGTACATCGGCTTCATTATTCTGGAGTTAAGCTTAATAAATTGTTCCCCTCCATCTCCTCTTAATGTAACAAATGTGATTCTGCAGAAGGCTCCTAAGGACATCTTTTTTGTTCCTGCCCAAACGATTTGGCGAAATTTTCAGATTTTTTCTCTAAGGCTTATTTTTGTGAGCTATCCCCTGATCCAGCCAATAGTATCAGGATGCAGCCTATTTGATGCAAGCTGAGATTGCATCACTCAGCGATTAATTGTCAGACACAATGCACTCAATGGAGTAAGTGATGTCACTGTGACGGGTAGGGTTAGGGGTGGGGTTAGGTGAGTGCATTAAAAAGCATTGGATGCAGCTCAGATTGCGCTGCACCAGGTCTGCATCCAGACTCCTCTCAATCCAGCGATCGCTGTTTTTGGTTGGTCTGACTCACTTCGTGGGTTCACTCATCAAATTAAAAAAAGCTTTCTGATATGGAATGGCGATAGCTAAAAAATTATTCTTTGTCTATGGGTAAAGGCATCAAAATCACTTTTTAAATAATGGCTTTCAGAATTTTCTAACACTTTACATTTAGAGAGACTCAGACACAATCTATCTGATAATATTGCTGGATCGAAGCCACCTGGAAACCCTTTTTTAATTACCTGTCAAATGCCAAGGATAACAGTTTAAAGGTATTACCCTGTCATCGTCTGCAAGATCACAACATTGCCTGTGCCCACTGGCTTAGATATAGCCACATTGCCTGTGCCCATTGGCTTAGATATAGCCGCATTGCCTGTGCCCACTGGCTTAGATATAGCGACGTTGCCTGCGCCCACTGGCCTAGATAAACTCATGAAAATAATGGTTTTAAAGTCTTTCTGTTTTTTTTTTTTTTTGCATTTCTTTTCTCTTTATAAATTGTTGTTGCTTTTTGCAATTGTCTGTGTTGCTTTAAGGTCAAAATAAAAAAAATATATAGTATTCAAAAATATTAATAGTTTCCACTTTGAAACAGGATTACTTTGCTTACCCTACTGATTTTTTTTGCTTGTTATAGGTGAAATACTTACTTAACTCAGACTTATTGGGCCCTGTCATACACAGGCGCAATGCGGCGAAAGGACACAAATTGTTTTCTTTCTAATGAAGGTTTCAGTTTTTAAACTTAAAGACAAAGTCCAGCATGTAAATAGCAAATGCACCATGGCGCAACTGGCTCTTAAAGGGAATGGAAGATGAGACTCTGATTGGTTTAATGCAGGTTATGCTCAAAACACATCCATCACTTATTAAGAGAATAAGCACAACCCTGTTAGACCATGCGCCAGGGCGCAGATCGTATTTTTCCATCGTAAATAGCAAAAGTGGATTCGGACACATCCTTGGTTTTGTGCCATGTGCTTTAGACTTTGTGCCTAGATCATTAAAATAGAGCCCTAAGAAAGAAAAACATGCTTTGCAGTGCACAGTTTCTCACTATTCTGACAAACACACACGCTGTTTCATTACTGATGATTGTATTATAAGTAGACTTGGACGTACAATGCCCATATTTTTCCCTCCAGGAGCTTGAGGACTTGGATCGATGGGGTATAGATATTTTTAAGATAGCAGAATATTCTGGGAATCGGCCACTCACAGTGATGATGTACACCATTTTTCAGGTAAAGACCGAAATATCTTATGAAAAAAACATGAAAAATGTTTACAGTAGACAATAAAGGAGAAAATCTTTCCTTTTTATCTCTGTACTTATTTTCATCGGCAAATTGATGTGGTATTTGAACATGTTAATGCTCTCTTTTATTCTCAGGAGCGAGATTTACTCAAAACCTTTAAAATCCCATCGGACACCTTCTTAACATTCCTGATGACCCTGGAAGATCACTACCATGCGGACGTGGCCTATCATAACAACATCCACGCAGCAGATGTTGTTCAGTCCACACACGTTCTTCTCTCCACACCTGCCCTAGAGGTCTACATGGATCCACACATACACACACACACATGGTGCTCATGGAAAATAACGGTCACACTTTATTTTGACGGCCTGTTTGTTGAATTTAAGTTAACTTGCATCAACCTACCAACTGACTCTCATTAGATTATAAGTAGACTGTTAGGTTGGGGTTAGGGTTAGTGTAAAATGACATGTACTTGCAAAGTTTCATATAGTCAGTTAAATGCCTGTTTAGCTGCAGTATCAACAGATATTAAGCAGATAGTCTGCTAATACTCAAATGGACCATCAAAATAAAGTGTTTCAGAAATAACTGCTAAATATACCTTTGCTAACACCATGTTATATTTGTTTTTTTATCTTTAGGATGTGTTCACAGACCTGGAGATCATGGCCGCTCTGTTTGCTAGCGCTATACATGATGTCGATCATCCAGGAGTGACCAACCAGTTCCTCATTAACACAAGTATGACTTTTTTTATATTATCCATGATTCCTATGATGGAATTGTAAAGGGTCTATGTCAGACATCGAAAGTTGGGGAGCTTTAGGGAGATATTCTTTTCTTTTTATATCTTCTAAGGCCGTGTCCACACTAATACATTATCATTTAAAAACACTTTTTTTTTCTCTATTTCAACTTTGTAGGGTATTTTGAGCCAAAAATTCACATAGACGCTCTAGGGCAGGGGTCTCAAACTCAATTTACCTGGGGGTTGCTGGAGGCAGAGTCAGGGTGAGGCTGGGCTGCAGGTTTTCCAAAAGAAATTAATTATATTATTAATTATTATTAGTTCATTTTTTCATCTTATTTTGTGTTAAAATATAAAAATAAAAACAGAGATTTGAGAAGATTGGATTTTTTTAAACACAAAATAAGTAAAAAAAAAATAAACAAATTAAAAAGTAATAAGAAAATAAATCAATCAGTAATAAATAGTAATAATAATAATAATACTATTAATAATAATAATATTAATTAATAATGGAATAAAATACCAGTGTATATCAAAGAGAGCAGCACTTTTAATCATTTTAAAACTGTTCTTAAAATTTGGCTCGAACAAAATCAAGTATGCAGCCACTGATTTGATTTCATTTCATTGACAATGATGTATTGTATTTATTGTATTGTAAGTGTGTATTGTATTGGTTATTACTGTTAAATTTATTACTTCCTGCCCAGGGACTACAGATGTAAATTAGCTTTATAGCTAACTCTGGCACAACATGTCATGTACATTGTACATTGTCCCTGTATAAATAAATAAATAAAAATGTATAAATATAAATAAAAAATAATAATTTATTGTTAGGCGAGGCAGTGGCACAGTAGGTAGTGCTGTCGCCTCACAGCAAGTAGGTCGCTGGATCGCTGGTTCGAACCTCGGCTCAGTTGGCGTTTCTGTGTGGAGTTTGCATGTTCTCCCTGCCTTCGCGTGGGCTACCTCCGGGTGCTCCGGTTTCCCCCACAGTCTAAAGACATGCAGTACAGGTGAATTGGCTAAGCTGAATTGTCCATAATGTGTGTGTGAATGTGTGTGTGGATGTTTCCCAGAGATAGGTTGCGGCTGGAAGGGCATTCGCAAGGGACTAAGCCGACAAGAAAATGAATGAATGAATTTATTGTTATCCGTCATGCTGTTGTTACAGGAAAAGAAGCAACACTGTGTTGTTGTCATTTTGTTTTAACTACTTTTACATCATGTAGAAATATATGTAATGTTTATTGTGTGAGGCGATGCAAAGATGCAAATAAAAATGCAAGTAGTGCAATGCAAATGACCCACAAATAACGGTGCGACTCTATAGCGCCCCATTCAAACGGGGCTTCAGCGTCAACGCTTGACTGAAGGCGTGTCTGAAGTTGGGGCTGCAGCGTTTGTCATAGCAGCGTTGGCCAATGAAATTCTGTCAGCAATAGGCCACTGTCTAGCTGGTGTATTTGCATACAGCGATCTGATTGGCTGACGCTTCTGTCGGCTCTTGAAAAGTTGAGCTAGTCCCAACTTCTGCAGCGAGCAATGCCTCTGAAGTGGCGCCGACGGATCCACAATGCAGTTCGGCAACGCCTGACGTCACCCATTCAAAGTGAATGGGAAGCGTTGACGCTGACGCCCTGTGTGAATGGGGCATAATTGGTCCGCATTACCGGGGACTCTTATTGCCAATATACAGGTGTCGATGTGTGACTGCAGACGACTACATTAGGCTGCATTGAGTTCCTTACTTTTCTTTTATCCTGCCTCGTACGCATCACTTTAATTTATTTTGTGCTCACTGCGCGCAAAACAATAACCACCAACCAATGAGAATGATTGTAAACGCAAGAAAGATGATTGGTTGAAAATATTGTTCAGGACCTGTAGTTAAACGTGAATTTTGCTTTAACTAGCACATGACTACAATCAAAAGTTAATGCCGAATCAATTAAAATAAATACCGGAAAGTAAAAAACAAATATCTGACATTTCCTGGAACAGGATCTGGCAAGATCCTGCTCAAATTAAGCACTGATTTATATACACATTTATATATTTATAGTGTCCCACTGGGCAGCAACTTTTTTTTAAATGTTGTGAATGAAGTGCGCTGGGACAAATGTCCGCTTGTGCCCAATAGAAACGAGGCAGCCAGCAGGCACAGAAGAAAACATTCCATGGCAACACTGCTGTAACTTTCACTCATTGGGAAATGTTACTCTGCCAGCGTCAAGCCCCCAGCCCACTGTGATTGGTGGGTTCGTTCAGCTCCAAACACAAAACTGTAAAGTGTTACACATATCAAACTCGAGGGCCGCACTAACATTAAACTTTCAAATTAAGGTCAATTAAGGTTTCAAATTAAACTATCATACTATCGGGCCTCGAGTTTAAAACCCCTGCTCTAGGGACATCAGAGACGTATTTTACATCTCGTCAAAAGGGGCATAATAGGCCCTGTTTAAAAACAAAATTATGAATTAATTGCTTGATTTTGTGTTAAATTCATCAACCATAGAATCAAAAAATTCTGGAGGGACACAACAGCTGCCTGTTTTTTTATTATAGATCACGGCGATTCAGATTGTTTTTGTCAGTTTTTTGTTTTGAAAGTAAGGGAATGTAAGATTTGGATTAGAATGGGATGATCATCAGAATTGCAGACATCCAAAAGCCAGTCAGAAAAGTTGATGTTGTTTGGTGTTTTTCAGACTCTGAACTGGCTCTCATGTATAATGATGCTTCAGTATTGGAGAATCATCATTTGGCGGTGGGCTTCAAGCTTCTGCAGGAGGAGAATTGTGATATCTTCTGCAATCTGAGCAAGAAACAGCGGCAGTCCCTGCGACAAATGACTATAGATATGGTACATGGTATACATATATACATATACGCCATCTTGTGGATAGACAATGTCAACCGTCTTTAGCTAGATGTGATGTCTCTCAGAAATTATAAATATGTAGAAATAGGCTCTATCCTTATAAATAAACTGCATAATTGCAATCTAAAAAACCACATTCTCATAAGTTTTACATAAAAAAGCCTCAAAAGCACATGATGTTGTTTGATAGCTGCAATATTTGTCAAACTGTAGTGAGTTTATTGATCGGCTGTCACTCTATATGTGCGGAGTGATACACAAAGGTGAAGAGGCTGTTATTGCAGAGTATCACACTGCTATCAGCCAATCAGATTCAAGAACCAGACAGAACTGTTGTATGTATATATATATGTAAACAAAGAAATCTTAATTAATGCATTTGTAATAATAACTTTTGTTAAAAATTAAATGTCAAATATGTGAAATACAGTACATGTAAAATGTTTTAGAACACTAAGATTTTTTTATGTTTTATAAAAGACTGCTCTCTATAATAAAGTAGGAAAAAAATCATGTTTCCAGGTTTTAGCGACTGACATGTCCAAACACATGAATTTCCTGGCAGACCTGAAGACAATGGTGGAAACTAAAAAAGTGACCAGTCAAGGAGTCTTACTACTGGACAACTACTCAGACCGAATACAGGTACTACAGGCCACATTGTACCAAACACACAGATACAACAGCAGTATTGGGCGTATAAATAGCTACAGTTCAAGCCAGAATTATTCGCCTTCCTTTGATTTTTGCTTTTTTAAATATTTCCTAAATTATGTTTAACAAAGCAAGAATTTTTCGCAGTATTTCCTATAATATTTTTTCTTCTTAGAGGAAGTCTTCTTAGTTTTATTTTGTCTAGAATAAAACAGTTTAACGTTTGTTTAAAACCATTTTAAAAGGGGTGGTCCACAGTGTATTTTTAAGGCTTGGTTGTGTTTATAAGATGCAAAGCAATGTGTGCTCACACAGAAAATCACATTATTTTACCACATATCTTACTTTGATTATATGCAGCTACTCAGCTAACATGAAAACGACTGTCATATTTCCTAGTTCCTCTGAAGACCCGCCCTCAAGAGGCTCGGATTGGTCAGCTAACATAATGTGCTGGGATTGGCGGATCGGCTCCACGTCACCAGCAAGATTAATAGCATCGCACACGCTGTGCGACTGCTGTATAAATACTGTCCGTTAGAGAATTACTGTTGTGCCTGAATCAGACAGAAAATGAAGCGAACCCAGCTGAACCTTATGCCTGCTCTCTAAAATAATATCTGACAGTGTCTTTCACATATATTAGGAATAAGCATGTGTAAGTATTGTGAAACATTCACACATTTTTTGCGGGTTCGTCATTTGAGATGTATAACACAGTGAAAGTGGCTGCATAGAGAGACGCTGCAGTAGAGATCTGCATTCCCGTGGCTGTTTCTGCGGGAGCCACGGGACCCAACCAGTTTTCTTGCGGCATGGCGATAAATTTAAGAATAAAACAAAGAAGCGGTCGAGAACTCTGATGTAATTTGAACGGAAGCTGGCAGCCTACCTACAGGGTTTCAGCGAGGTCTTAAAAAGTCTCAAATTTAAAAATCTAAATTTTAGGCCTCAAAAAGTCTTAAATTCGCTGTTCTAGATCTTAAATATATTTGCTCAGGTCTTATTTTTCCGATGTCCATGTAACTCTACATCTAATGCACATTTAAATCCTTTTATGTCGTTGCTTGGTTTTCGTGATGTAGTTCTTTATTTCACTAGTCCTATAGTAATTTGCAGTATTACAACTACAAATGAGGCCAGCATGCAATAGCCAATTAGCTTTCTGTTATAGAACTCAGTGCGCGCGGCAAATGTGACGTCTGCGTCGGGGAATACGCGTGGACGCATAGCTTATGGCGTGGCCGTCGGCGACACTGACACTCACCTTTTAAAAAATGTAACTACATGTCGCAACGATATCGCTGACGAGTGTGGCTGGAGGTGAGAGCCGCGCAAGCCCAATGCATCTAGTGTTTACAAGTGTCGAGTCCTGTGAAGGAGATTATGATTACCTTACCTTATGATTAATGTTGTTGCACGTTCGCCAATTCCAGCCAAAATGAGCGAGTTTGAGCCACTTGTACATTAAGGAAGCGTTCAGAAAAAACTAAACACCAGCGAAGAAACATAAACACCAACGCTAGCGTTTCTGAAATGTTATTACAGAGGAATACAAACAGCGCACAGAAGTATAAATGCACGGCAACAGGCGTTGCATGCGCCGTGGGTCACGCCGATCACTCGACGCAAAAGTATAACCCAGGCTTGAAAAATTCTGAGCTCAACTGTGAATATTTAAATGAATCTTTCTTTCCTTTTGAAGGTTCTACAGAACATGGTGCACTGCGCTGACCTCAGCAACCCCACAAAACCCCTGGAGCTCTACAGAAAGTGGACAGATCGCATCATGGTGGAGTTCTTTAGTCAGGGGGACCGCGAGCGGGACAAGGGCATAGACGTCAGTCCTATGTGTGACAAACACACAGCTTCAATGGAAAACACTCAGGTATGCTCTTATCAAAAATATCCATCTTTTTATTTACACAATAGGGTCTGGAGAGGATGCTGTGCTCTGCATACAAGAATTTTACTACATTTTATGGACATAAATCATTATATCAACTGCGATCCAATTAAAAGCTAGTTTTCAATTTTAATTATAACAAAGAATATGCATTTAAAAAAACTAATAAACACATGAATAGTGTAAAATATTGTCAATATTAGTGCTGGGAAAAGATTAATTACGATTAATAACATCTAAAATGAAAGTTTGTTTGACATAAGATATGTGTGTGGATTATATTTAGTATATGTGATATAAACACATACATAAAAAACTGAACTATACAAACATTTTTCTATTTTGTATAGATATTTTTAATTTGTATTATGGTGGTACAGTGGCTCAGTGGTTAGCACTATCGCCTAACAGGAAGATGGTCGCTGGTTTGAGTCTCGGCTGGGCCAGTTGGCATTTCTGTGTGGAGTTATTATGTGGGTTTCCTCCGGGTGCTCCGGTTTCCCCCACAGTCCAAAGACATGCTCTATAGGTGAATTGAATAATCGAATGAATAATTGATAAGGTACGAGTGTTTGTATGAATGTCCGATTGTATGGGTATTTCCCATTAATCATAATTGAACATTTACTAATGCATTATTAACATTTAAGCCCATGCTTCTTAACATTAGTTAATGCACCATTAGTTAACATGAACTAACAATGAACTACTGTATTTTCATTGACTAACGTTAACTAACGTGAACAAATACAGTAGTAAATGTATTGTTCATTGTTTGTTCATCTTAGTAAATGCATTAATTAACATTAACTAATGGACCTTATTGTAAAGTGTGACCAAAGCTGATTTTTCCGTCCTTAAAATAGCAAAAGTGGATTCTGACACACCCTTAATCCTTTTGCGCCCTGCACTTTAGACTTTGCACCTGGGTTGTCAAAATAGAGCCCAAAGTGTGCCAAGAAATTAAGCCAATATAATGATTTTAGCATTCTCTAAATTAATCATTTAATTCTATAATGTTTTGTTAAATAGTATTCATTCATTCATTTTCTTGTCAGCTTAGTCCCTTTATTAATCCAGGATCGCCACAGCAGAATGAACCGCCAACTTATCCAGCTAATTTTTACACAGCGGATGCCCTTCCAGCCGTAACCCATCTCTGTGAAACATCCACACACACATATTCACACACACACACACAATCATACACTACGGACAATTTAGCCTACCCAATTCACCTGTACCGCATGTCTTTGGACTGTGGGGGAAACCAGAGCACCCGGAGGAAACCCACGCGAACGCAGGGAGAACATGCAAATTCACAGAAATGCCAACTGAGCTGAGGCTTGAACCAGTGACCTTCTTGCTGTGTGGCGACAGCACTACCTACTGCGCCACTGCTTCGTCCTGTTAAATAGTATAATATATGCAAATGAAATGTATTAATACATAACTTTAGCAACTTTCAGCTACTAATCATTTGCAAATGACAATGTAAAGCCAAAAATAAAAGATTTTAAACAACCCAAGCTCATTCTGAAAACATAGTCCCGTTTATTTTTTTCAATCGAACGCTGCAGGGCGATGTGTTGCTGTTCACTTTCGCGCTTACCTTACCTCCTTGTGAAGGGATTCCCTGCTGAAACCCGTTTGTCCACTCAGCTCACCGTGTAACGTCGGCAGGCTCGAGATGCGGAGAGGAGTCAACCACGGCGACCGGTTTCAAGTACGGGGAAGAGAGATTCCAGCAATTAGGTAAGACGAAAACAGAATCCCAAAAATTAAGTTAAAGAGTTTCGTGACAGGGTGAGACCGCGGTGAAACCCGAAAACGCGGTAGAAAAAAAAAATCGGGGCTTTTATTTTTTTGGACAGCTTTTGTAAACTGTTGCTAGGGTTAAGGGAAGCGAGCGGGTGAGCGGGCGGGCGGGTCGATCGGTAAAATTGGCTGGGTTCAGGGAAGGAGCGCAGTCAATCATCCAGTCAGTCGGACAGCGGCCTCCGGTGGGTTCACGCGAGAACAGCGCGGGCGCGAACCGCACTCGCGAGGAGTCTGAGGTGCGAAAAAGCGCACACAGCGGCCTCTCGCGGATTTGCGAAAACAAAAACTGCAGCCGTACGTACCCGCCGGGACGTATTCCGCGGTCTCCAGAAACGTCCGCGGGACTATGTTTCCACAATGAGCCCGGGTTGATTTTAAATCATAATATCAAACTTAAAGGAATAGTTCACCCAAAAAGGAATTTTTACTCACTATTTATTCTCCCTTAAGTGTTTTTAAACCTTTATGAGTTTCTTTCTTCTGTTTAACACAAAATAGTATTTTCTGGCAAAAAAAAACAGTAACCATTGACTTCCATAGTAGGAAAAACAAGTCAATGGTTACAGGTTTCCAGCTTTTCTTTCTTAGTGTTCAACATAAATAAGAACCCAAAAAGGATTGAAACAAGTAAAAGGTGAGTAAATGGCAGATTTTTCATATTCGGGTGAACTAACCCTTTAATCTCTCTTCCTAACGATAGAGCTGCTTTTACATTTTAGTTATAAGCAACAGTCCTATTCGATCATAATGATAACTGTCTTTAATTGTTGTTTCTTAAGGTGGGATTCATTGATTACATTATCCACCCTTTATGGGAAACATGGGCTGATCTGGTCCATCCAGATGCTCAGGACATTCTAGATACATTAGAGGACAATCGAGAATGGTATCAGAGTATGATCCCACGCAGCCCCTCGCCAACCCCTGAAGAGCAGGACTCACGGCCCACAGGGGTCACAGGCTCAGCTGGAGAAAAGTTCCAGTTCGAGCTTACTCTGGAGGAAGAGGATGGAGAGTTAGAGACTGAAGAAGAGCACACAGATATAGAAAGATCGAGGACTATGACTGATCCTGAGCATCCACAAACGTCCCCTCTTGGAATCACTACCATTTTAGACAGCAGCGAAAGAGAACTGGATCAGGAACTGACCAGTGTGTCCGCCCTGCAGTTGGAAACCAGTAGTAGCAGCACTCATGAATAATCTGCAGTCAGGTAGAATAATGGTATAATAAAGTGCGAATCATAGGACCCAAGGTTTATACGACCAAATAAGCCTGTGTTTTAAAAATGTATTTGTGTCCCAGATATTTTGCAAAAGGACTGGGTGCTGAAATCGTAGATGAATGTTTTTGTGGTCGCATGGAGAAACGCGAGTCTTCCCTTGAGTGACTGTCCATGCCAATTGCAGAAGAAAGCAGATTTGCTCATAAATGTTGTCATTAGAAGCTAGAATATTTATTATGTTGAATCTTTTTTAATAGCTGATAACTTAATGCTTTTGCTTTATTGCCACTGAAAAATCTCTTTGATGAGTGAAACGGGACAGTTGTGGGAATATTTAAGGCAAGACACCACAGGTGAATACGGTAAGAAAGTAACTAATAGTTAACACTGTACTTGTCCAGTTGTGTTTTGTATAAACATGTATGAAAATGTTATGTGTAAATATACAAAAGAGGCATTATCTATGGTAATATGCAATAATTTGCAATTACATAATCGGGACATTTAAAATTCCTTTTTGTCAACTATTTAGAGTTATATACACTACCTGAAAAAAGTCTTGTCGCCTATCCAAGTTTTAGGAACAGCAAATAATAACTTGACTTCTAGTTGATCATTTGGTATCAGAAGTGGCTTATATGAAAGGCAAAGGCCTCTAGATTACGCTTATTTTACCAAAATATAATTTGATCATGCCTTGATTTTTAATTATTTAATTAGGAAAGTAAGGTCTGACTTTGCTGAGACAAAAGTCTTGTCACTTAATAGAAATATTATACAGTATAGAATATAAAGTCATGCTGCAGTGGAAAAATAATTAATATTGTGCATGACCTCCCATGAGCTTGGAGGACTTCATCCATACATCTCTGCAATGACTGAAATCACTTATTAATAAAGTCATCTGGAATGGCAAAGAAAGCGTTCTTGCAGGACTCCCAGAGCTCATCAAGATTCTTTGGATTAATCTTCTATGCCTACTCCTCCATATTACCCTAGACATGCTTAATAATGTTCATGTCTGGTGACTGGGCTGGCCAATCCTGAAGCACCTTGACCTTCTTTGCTTTCAGGAACTTTGATGTGGAGGCTGAAGTATGAGGAGCGCTATCCTGCTGAAGAATTTGCCCTCTCCTGTGGTCTGTAATGTAATGGGCTGCACAAATGTCTTGATACCTCAGACTGTAGATGTTGCCATCCCATTTATCAAACTTGAGTTAATAAACTGATTCTTTGACTATATTAGACTAGTCACGATACTGAATTAAAAGATAAAACATTAATTTCCCGCTAACATTTAAGGCACTGTTGATGGCTTTCTTAAACAGCGCTGATTTGCCATTTTGTTCACGCGCTCAACAAAAAGGCTTGTGATTGGCCAAGAAGGTCATCAGTTCACCCTCCGCTGTTTACCAAGCACAAACAGAGACAGACGAGCAATCTGCTTGATGACTCGACTGATCTTCACAGCTGCTTCGTGCTTCAGTCTCAGTGTATCTGTGTTTGCACTGGGTGAAGAGCGGTAAACTGAGTGCAAACCAAACACAGATACACGGCGACCGGAGCGCGAAGCAGCCGTCTAGATGAGTCGAGTCATCCGCGTTCAGCAGCGCTTCAATGTTACCAGGAAATAGACAGTTTTAAAACTTCAGATCTAAATCTTCAAATCTCTCGCATGCCTCCATGCTGAATGTAACACCAAACCATGAGTTTCCCTTCACCAAACTTGACTGATTTCTAGGAGGATCTTTGGTCCATGCTGGGTCCAATAGGTCTTCTGCAGTATGTGTGATGATTGGGATGCAGTTCAATAGATGATTCATCTGAAAAATCTGCCACTTTTCCAAATGATCAACTAGAAGTCAAGTTATTATTTGTTGCTCCTTAACTGGGATTGACGACAAGACTTTTGTAGAATGTCATAGAAAATTAATTTTGTTGGATTACTTTTGTTGGATTTTTTTCAATCCATAGGTAAATGCTGTTAATTGTCATAAGTAAACAAACAAAAACTGTTAAGCGAAACTATAGACACCTTATTTTAAAAGTATTAAGTACTACTTTTTAGTTTTACTTCACTTGGTTTCCTTATGTACTTCAGTTTGAAAATTAAGAAAAACTTATTGAGGAATGCTTATTTATTTAGCTAGAAAACATTTTATTACCAAAACTTGTCAAACACTGATTACCACCACTGAATATTTCAAGATTGCATTGAAAATAACAAAATATGTCATTTAATATAAATAGCCTGGATCTCCGTTCTTGGCTCTATTTTTACGTCAGATTCATAAAAATCTTAGAAACTACACTAAAAATTTTCACAAACAATTCATAAAGTATGTTTTAAATTTAAACAAATTAAATTTAGTAATGTTCAGCTTAATTTGTTTGTTTAAATTCAACCCAAATTAATTGTTTACGAAAACTTAACCTAAAAATATTTGTAAATCCACGGAATAATCTTTAAATATTTTTTTTTCAGTGTAGAGTGTCGTTCTAGTCTCAAACAAATCGTTTGAGGCAGTAAGAAATAGGAATGCACCGAATTTTCGGCCACCGAAAAGTAACGACAGAAAATGTCATTTTCTTTTTTCGTCTGAAAAAAAAATAGCTGAAAATATGAGCCAATAAAAAAAAAAACTCTGTAGTGCACCACACAGAACAGTATTGTTCAACATTTAACCAGCTGTAGTCACTGTAGTGAGAGGCTTTCACACTGAATGTGGAAAGCACTGCAATATGAAATTCATTTCAATCAATTAATTTCAATGGCTTGCACCATGCATAGGCAGTTTGTGGCTGCTTCGACCAAAGCGCACAAGCAGCAGAGTGTACTGTAAATTAGCAGGGAAGGCCTGCTAGGCCGCAAAAGGGGAACCGCGTTATAGCGAGGAACCACTGTCGACTTGTTTCTATAGCTTGCAATAATGCAACTGTGCTGTCATGGCAATGCTGGTAAAATGATGCCTCTCCGACTCTCGATTTTCTGTCAATAATATAATATTTTATCTGCTTGTGTTTTTAGAATCAGTATGAATTCAATCATTGAGTTACATAAGAGAATCAGATTAGATTAAGAATTAGCACGTCCGAGGCCATGGTGCTCCCCTGGAAAGAGGTGGTTCGCCATCTCCAGGTTGGAGGAAAGTCCTTACCCCAGGTGTAGGAGTTCAGGTATGTTGGGGTTAAGTTCATGAGTGAGAAAAGGATGGAACATGAACTTGACGGGCGGATCGGTGCAGTGGCAATAGTAATGCGATCGATGTGCGGGTCCGTTGTGATAAAGAGGGAGCTGAGCCGAAAGGCATAGCTCTTGACTTACCGAATCTACGTTCCTACTCTTATCTACTGTCATGAGCTTTGTGCCTTGACTGAAAGGACAAGATCTCAGATACAAGCAGCCGAAATGGGTTTCCTTCGTAGGGTGGCGATAAGAGGAGGAGCTTTGTCATCCGGGAGGAGCTCGAAGTAGAGCCACTGCTCCTCCACATCGAGAGAAGTCAGCTGAGGTGGCTTGGGTATCTGTTTCAGATGCCTCCTGAATGCCTACCTTGGGAGGTGTTCCAGGCTTGTCGCACCGGTAGGAGGCCTAGGGAAAGACCCAAGACTGGAGGGACTACTGTATGTCTCTCAGCTGGCCTGGGAACGCCTCGGGATTCCCTGGAGGAGCTCCAGAGTGTCTGGGGAGTGTCTGGAGAGGGAAGTCTGGGGTTCTCTCCTGAGACTGCTGCCCCCACAACCCGGCCCTAGAAAAGTGAATAAAAATGAATAAATGAATGAATGAATGAATCAATCAATCAATCAATCAATCAATCAATCAATCAATCAATCAATCAATCAATCAATCAATCAATCAATCAATGAAGTGAGTTAATGAGTTAAGATTAAATAATTATTTGGTTTTGGATCAAGTGCATCCAGAATTGTCAGGTTCGGCTCAGAATTTTCATTTCGGTGCATTCCTAAAATAAATCTTGGCAAAAAGCAAATGGAAAACAAACTGTTGTCGAAATTAAGGTCCCACCAAAATTGCTTGCACACCATTTTTTTGTGACAAGCTGTATATGTTTATCAGGCAAATGTTATAGAAACAAACCTTTCGTTCAAAGATTCTGAAAGTCAATAGGAATAAAATTCAATTTAGGAATGGAAATTCAATGTTCGCAAGTGGCCTTCTACTGAAGTGGGATTGAGGTTCTTGAAATTCAAATCTACAAACACAAATATAATGTGCATTTAAGTGTGTATTTTGTGTATTTTACACTAGTCTGGAAAAAAACATGTTAACAAAATATTCCAAAATTAAGCAGTAAAAATACTTTAGCTTATGGTGTCTTGCCTTAACGGGTTAACAGTAAGAGTGTGATTGATAACAATCTCAGGATAATACTGATTTCATTTTAATGTAGCAAGACTCAAGTGCAGTCACTTTTTTTTCATTAACTACTGGGTAAAAGAAAAACATAATAGTTTAAAAGCCAAAAACTTGTGCTTGTTAGATCACCGTATGGAGAATATCTTTACACGTGTTTGTACTGAAATACCTTTATACCTCTTGGAAAGATAGCACTATATAGACATAAAAGAATATAGAAATAGAAACAGGGTTGATGTTTTATCTGCTTAATGAATGAACTCAAATGATGACAAATCCTTTTTCGAATCTAAACTCGCATAAATTGACATTCATGAGTGAGTCAGTGTTTTATGCTGATTTATTCGGATGTTCCCATGTTAGAGATTTGGAGATTGCCTCTGACTGAAGGTGAAGTGGATCTGACATTGGTTTTATATATATATATATATATATATATATATATATATATATATATATATATATATATATATATATATGTGTGTGTGTGTGTGGCTTTTAAAGAAATTGTTCACACAAAAATCTAAATCACCCCAAAACTGACTCAACCTCAAGTCATCCTTGGTGTACACAAGACATTCTTCTTCCAAACAAACAAATTCAGTAGTTTTAAATTGTCTCCTCTATGCTGTGCACTCTAAAAAACGTTGTTGTG